ATTGAGAAACTCAACGAACATTGGATATTATTAGGTAACTTATAAGACTACTGCAATGATTTAGTGGACTTACATGTGGTTGGCCAAAGCTTTGATTCTCACCGAAGACCTTTTTTGTTACCTATAAATCGCGGGTTACTCACGTGAATATACTGAGAAAACCTCTACTAGTTTCAAGCCACAGAGGGGTTCTTCCTCATGAGCAGCGTGCGTGGTCGCGGCAATGTCGCGCAGCTTACTGAAGTTCTCAATATGTTTACGTGAGTAACCCGCGGTTTTTAGTTAATTTTGTATAGTTCACGATAGTTATTATAAAAACCTATATTTATTATTTTGATATTTTTGTATTTGTCGTGATCTATTGGTCTAAACGTCCTAGACGAATTAATCTGTCACGGAGAACCTAACGGGTAACCGGGGCTCCGTCTCGACGTGCAGGAGAAGGAACGAGGTGATTTTTAGTCAGTAAGAGTCTGACACTCCCTCCCGCCTCACCCAGGCGGGAGCAGTCATTCGATGATTTTTCCCCCCCTAAAAAAAAAAAAGAAAAAGACGAATTAATCTGTCAAGACTCGGGAATAGATAGTTGTAATAATGATATCTACAGATAAGTTTGGATTTATGTCGTAATATTTTGTTCCTGGTGATAATACGGTGGGATTAACGGGTTGCCGGGGCTGCGGCTCGAAGTTCAAATGTAGGAACGGGATGGTTTTTAGTCAGTAAGAGTCTGAAAAAAAAGTGCATAAAAATACTATTAATGTGATATTCAACTTCAATACAGTTAGTTAGTTGGTTTAGTAGTTATACCTCTAGGATAGATATGTATTCATAACTTTAATGAAACAACATATGTGATCTAAAATTGTTAATATTACACTAACATTAATTACTGGAAATGGTAACAGACAGATGACGTCATACTGTTATTACCAGAGAACGTGCGTAGGGCAAGATGTTCGGAAATCAAAACAACGACCCGCCTACGCTCATAGCCCTACACTGATTAGGAATGTTGAGGTTCACTTCTATTATTTTGATATTTGTGTTTGTAAGGATTTGAATAGAAACGATGACGATGACTGCTTTATTGGCCGAGTGGTCGCAAGTGCGACTGCTGGGCAAGGGGTCTCGGGTTCGATTCCCGAGCAAAATTTACTCGGTTTTTAAAAAAAATCACAGTAGTAGCACGGAGTCTAGAATTGTGCCCTTTATATGGCAATAAGCTCACCCCCTATTACATGGGACTCATAACATAAATAGTAAAAAGTGGGTGTTACATTGTATAGTGGCATAATGTACACCTCTGCCTACCCCTTCGGAAATAAAAGGCATAACGTAAAGTTATGTTATGGTATAGGAGACTACCTCTATGTAATAAATCCGTAATTTGTCTTTGAGCAACCAGATGCGCCTAACTACTTACTCATATTAAGAATTCATAATAGAGATAAGTACATAAAAATAAATTAAGTATTTTTTCACGTCAAATTACTTTGTGAAGTAAAAGGGGTGTTTTTTTATTAGTTAGCGTGTTAATAAGTAA